GGCGAGGCCCAGCCCCGGGAGGCGCCGCCAAGGGAGCCCGCCGGGCCGGGCCCGAGCCCCGGTTGCCACAGAGAGATTTTCCGCCCGTAACCTCGCAGGGAAAGCTCTGTGTCTAGTCAACACCGTGCACACAGAAGCATGTAGGTAGGTGTGCCTCTAGGAGCCAGCCGTGGTAGTTGTTGTCCAAGAAAAGAAATGTTACAGCCTGTACAAAATATATTCCTGCTACGGTTTGTATCTTCTTTCTGCGGCTTGCTGAATACTTAAATTCCCTTTGGCACGTTAGCAGGGCTGTTCAGGTACTTTGCACTTTGTTTCGTAAGTGAATAAGTGCTTTTCTTTCTTTGTGTATTGAGTTGCTTTTGAATTGCTTCCCATATTTTTATTTCATACAAACTGAACAATTGTGGCCCCTCTATTTTATTTATAAAGGTTCAGTGTATCTTTGCCTGCCTACATCAATCTGCAAGGGAGTTGCAGAAAAGCCTCATGTTCATCGAGCCGTGAGTCACAACCAATTTTTAAAGCTGTTATAACAAAAAAAAAAGTGTTTGCTTTTTTTTTCACAAGTAACTTTAAAAGTGTAGCTTAGAAAGAAAAAAAAAAACATTTTCAGTAGACACAACATTATTCCTGGATGCTTGCAAATCCTAAATTATATTCATACGTTAGTATTACACATACCTGTGTCATATACACAGATTAGCTTTAAAATTGTCACATACCATTACCAGTTTGCCTTTACTTTTATGTATCATTCCCCTAACTTCCTTACTGCAGGTGTGGGCAAGAAAACTTTTCCTTTAAAACTTTTCAACAGTGAGCATAAAATTCTGCAGCTGAGGTCTTGAAGAATGCAGATGGGTATAGTATATGTTGGAGCTCGCAGTGTGTATTGACTAACTTTTTTTTTTCTTTTTGCTTTTCTGATATTGTCTTGTTTAAGTGGCTCCTGAGTGTAAAATGTCTTCGGAGGGTGGGAAGCGGGTGGGAAGTACGCTTCGTGTTCCAGGCCAAGACCTACAAGATTCATCTTTGCACGGCCTTGGAAAGCACACTGCATATTTGGTTTCCAAACCAAATGGACTGATGTCTTAATTATCAGATTAGCAAATAGCAATTGCCTGTAAGAAGTGTCAAGCACAGCCCTGTTTTGTGATTCATGGCCCTCTGATAGCATGGGTTTCAGTATCTCCTGCCCCCTTCATCCCATTAAAAAAGGGAAGAAAATAAAAGTTTTGGCTATGAGCCAGACTGTCTGTCTCCTTTTTTTCTCTTCTGGCTGTGCTCTCTCTTTATATGGATGACAGGCTGTGGACACTATTTGGCTCGCCAACACTGTGTTTAACATGGTGTACTGGATGAATAAACGCTAAAATAGTATTTGTTGCCAATTATAAATGTTCCAGAATATCCTGTTGCCCTCTAAGCTTTTTCGAGTTATCTTGGGGAGCAGGAACACCAAGTATTTTAATCTGCATATTGAGGCGAAATGATCATACCAACATCTTTGTGCTCTTACCAGTATTCTAATGTCTCCTTATTTAAAACCACAAATGAATTTCAGGAGATGAAACCAGACAAAGGGTGAAGTTCACAGATGATCGCGTTTGCAAGAGCCACCTTCTGGATTGCTGTCCTCATGATATCCTGGCAGGAACAGTAAGTATATTCTTTGTAATAAGGGCTTACTGTATGGCAGAAGCTAGTAAAAACTGTTCGGGACTGATCCCTGCATTATAGGTAACTTCTAAGCGCTCAGAAACGATCTAAGCGATTGGGAGAGATCAAACTTCTCCTGCCCTAGGAGCAGGCTTAATTTTAGTTTCAGTTTCTGTGGCCTGTATATGAAACCAATGTAGCTGGGAGTTCCCGGAATTATCTTGAAACGTTCTTCTCTCACAGTCCCTTGTGAAGTTGCAAGACCATTTCTGTTTCACTGGTTTGAGCTGGTTTGGGCCTGAAACTTAGCCTGCAGAGGTCACAAGATCATAGCCTCTTTCAGCTAGCCTGCTCTCCTGGGCACTCTAGTTCACCAGTACATCTTCAGGTTAGCAAGGTTTTTCTCTCTGGCTGAAGTAATCCTTAACCCTCACAGCTTTTCAGTCTCCTTTTAAACCATGCGATGTTCTCCTGATAGAACTGCCTCAACAGCAGCTTTTTCATCATTACTGGTTAGCTGCAGGAAGCATTGGAGTGCTGATGGCAGGTTACAGCTCAGGCTGACTTTGTCTTCAGAATTAGCTGGGCTGAGCAGTATGTCACTCTGTCTGACTGATTAAAAACAGTTGCGTCTCCCTGCTTCCTTAGCTGCTGCCCTCTGGGGAAAGAGCTAGCTAATTTTCAGAGGTTTGGCTCAAGTGCCCTCTGTGTGAGCAAAAGGTGTCATGGGCTTTTAAAAGTGATCTTGTGGAATAAGTATCTTATTTAAGCACCCCAGATGAAAGATCCAGTCCGGCTTTCAAAAGAAAAGGGTGCATGTCTTTTGTAATTGTTGCAGTGTTGCGTAATTGCAGGACGGAGATGAATGTGGATACCTGAAATCCGTCTTTAGCCTCACTGTTTGACACTAAATACTGTGATATTTTATGTTGTCCACCCATTTAACCAGATTGTTTAAAGATGCCGTAGTTATTTATAGCCCTTCCTTTTGTTATTTCAGGAGCTGGGTTTGACATAATGGGTTACCAGCAAAGGGAAGGGCTGGCAGTTTTTCTTTAGGTTGTATCACTGCTAGAGCAAAGACTATATGGCAGCGCTAAGAGAAGGAGCTTTAGCAAAAGCTGCCTTGGCTCTGAGCACTCAAACTTCAGCTTCTGAATGGTTATTATTCCAGATTAAGATTGGTAGAGTTGGATACCAACCTGTATATTTTTAAACCGTCGTAAGGGATGTGAGGCAGAAATTTGGAGCTCAGATGTGTTTTCCAGCAATCCCTAGCTCAGCTTCCATGTCGCCGCGCTTACGTTTCAGAATTGTAAAGCTGCTTAAATCACTTTCTGCCCTCCTCTGCGCAGGTCATCGTGTGGGTTAGGGTGTATTTTTTGACAAAAGATTTTACAGCAGCTTTTCAGGGCCCAAATTTCATTTGAAAGTGCAGGCTGCCTTCTTCCTCTTCTGGCACGTTGCCAGGAAGAAGGTAGAAGCTGAGTTGAAGGGGTTAAATTTAGTGATGAGCAGGACCGTTGGCTCTAACATCAAAGCACAGAGGAAATCTGAGGCATTCAGATCTGTTTGGAGTCTCCTGGGACAGGTAGAGGCTCACTGAGAAGGCTGTTTCTCTTGCTCCTGTTGTCACTTGTCTGCAGCGAGTTGGCTCTTCGTTCTCAGTGTGGAGTTTGCTCTCAGAATTCTCATGCAGGAGCAGGAAGGAAGACTGCTTCTGTGTAAGTAAGCTTTTGGATCTCTTAAACGATCGTGTGGTGGCCTTGAAGTGGCTGTGGAGCTCCCTGCGCTGCTATCGGCCTGTTCTTGGGGACAAGAAAATGTGCTGGTGCCACAGATCTGTGCCGAAAGAACATGTGATTTCTGGAACAGGATCAGCATTTCAGCTGTCAGCGGTACCAGCACAGAATGAAACTTAATTGGAATGCGCAAACTTTCCCTTTGAACTCAAGACAGTTTTATTAGCAACTTCGTCTGCATTAAAGGAAGAGATGTGTGAGTGAAGCAGCTTCAACTGGATGGTATACACATCCAGAGGTGGATGCTGCTATTGCAGAAATCAGGACCTTGGATCTTTATGGAAACTTCCAAGAGAATACTCCAAGCCTTCTGGCAATTGTCATGATTCATCCTTCCCCCGCTAGGTAGTTATTGCTGCGTCCTTCATGTATGCAGATACTCCTAAGTAGCGGGAGGCTGACTGGAGAAGAGCAGGAAGCTGGATCCTGCGTGTAGCTGTGTTCAGTGAAATGTGATGAAGTCCCATTCACTGACCTTCAGATGCAGGGTATGAGAGGGAGTTCAGACTTTAAATGACGTTCTGGGATCTTCCTGAGAGCTGCAGGAGGCATGTTGACGTTTGTTTCATGTAGGTGGGCTGACGTGTCTGATCACAAGAGCTAGAATTTTAATTTGGCTTACTCTTGTGATTTTTGTTGTTTGCTTTTTGGCCCCGGAAATATCTGAAAGCGTTGTCGCAAAACCCTGAATTAGAGGAGGAGTAGGGTCTCCGTTCTGCGTGTTTTCAGACACTGTTAAAGAGGTGGAGTTTTCATTTTTTTTTTGGACTTAATGGAAAACCATTCCACTGTGGGAGGAACAATCTCCCAGACATCTGATCAGCAATGCTGACTCAGGGACTGTTTGCTGTGACTGTTTACTTCTCGATTTTTTCCCAAACTCCGGTGGCGAGGTAGCAACATTAGTGTTCCTAGGTGAAGATACTCTGTTTAGGTCTTGTCTGTCTAAACTTGTCACTAAATAAGCTACAGTGGTTCTGTTGTTGGCCTCCATGGGAAAGGTGGACAATTCTGGATGAATATGAGTTAGTGTTTGGTACATCCATGTGCTGTTATCAGGGTACTTGTTAGCTCGATTGTTAGTGGCCTGTACTGAGTTAGCTCTAGAACAGACAGTGGGCATGTCTGTGTCAGTGGAAGGACTGGAGCACATTCAGATGTGGCATCAGCTGGTGGTCTTCTCAAATTTGTTGGCTCCACTAATGAGTGGACAGATGAGTCTAAGTCTATGTAGGTAGAATATTACTGGGAAAATACATTCAAGGAATTGTTGTGTGTCCACTCCTGGCAGATATCAGTGAGCTGAAATCTGAAGAATTGTTTCATGGGAATCTGCTTTCCTTTTCTATTTGAGCAAAATTCTGCAGCACTGATTACTTTTGAAGAGTGTTCCTCGTGGAAAAATATGTGGTCAGGGAGCTTTTCTGCTAAACTGCTCCCAAGACTTGGATACTCAGAACTTGGACTGCTCGGCAATTGTGAGCTAGGCTAATGATTAGTGGCTATCCAAGTGTATTAAACCTTGGGGAGCTGGGGGGAGGTGGTGGTAGATCTTTGCTCAAGCTGTTCTGGTAACCTGTCTGAGATACCAGTATCATAAACCAGCCATGGGCATTGAATGGGGTAAGTCATGATTCTCTCTTAGCTGGAAAGCATGAGTATCTGATGACAGGTCTTTCTCGGGCAAATGGATCCTTTGAAACAGCAGGGCTAGTGCTCTTACCTGAACTTACCAATGCCTAAGGAAATCTGCACGCGCCTAGATCATCTCAAAGAACCTGGAGGAAGACTTGAGGTTTGTATGCCAACAAAGCCCTGGATATCCTCCCCGGAAGAAGAGGTTGGGAGATTCGTTGCCTTTTAACAAATTGGGGAGAGGAATACAGAGCGCACTGGATTCTTCTGAAGTTTTAGGTTGGAGCTCCTTACTTCTCTGAAGTGGGGCTAGTGCTTCAGCTTACAAGAATTGTTCAGATAAGAATATTTACAGTCTCTGACAGTGTCACGAAACATCGTCGTTTCTCCCTGTACTGGAAAGGAATCTCACTAGAATGACCATAAAAATAAAAGATTTAAGTCGCATCACGCTCTAATGTTGTGGAAAGTTGTTTTTGTGGTAAAATGACAGTAGCCGTCTAGCATCCCTTGAAGAGGCTTGCCTGAAGATGAACACTAACCTCTGAAAATACCGTAACGCTTTTTTTGTAGGCATTAAATTTCCACTATTAGAGAGCTCAAAGAGCTCAGAGAGGACTATTCCTGAATGCAGCGTCTGTTTCTGTAGCCTGCTGCCTGTGGCCTCCAGTTTTTGGTAAATCTGAGCAAAATGAGGAAGAATAAATAGTGGCAAGTCATCCTGAATTCTTTTTTTTGTTTAAAAAAGAAAAGTTAATAACACAGGTAACTACTTACAACATGAGCATTACTTGGTGGAGCTTGCTTTAGTTGCTTTGCTTCCTGCTAACCACTTCCATCGCTGTTGTCTGAGTGCACTGCTTCACTTCAGTGTGCCTGGCACCTCCAGCTTTTAGCTTGGGATGTTTTGCAGACGTTCTGTGTTGATCCTGGTTTAGCTGTGTTTAGCTTTCACCGTAGCCCCCTCTTTAGCGTGTTCTCCTCTGTGGTTCTGTGTTCAGTTTTGGGCTCTTTGGGACTGGAGGTGGCTGGGAGAGAAGAGGATGGCTGGCTGGCTGGAGTGTTACTTCGTGTGATGCCGTGTGCATTGTCATTCTTCCAGCTTGCTGTGGCTCATAGTTAGGCCTTGTGTTGTTTTGACTTTCAAAACATTAGGTCCTTTTTCTATTTAAGGAACAAGAGAAGTGTTCTCTGTTAAATATTGATAATGCAGAAATGCAATTTCCATGTTTTAAGAGCATAATTAAATTCATTTCTTTTGGCTGTTAACTACTAGGTTGGGGAAAAACGAACAAATTTAAATAGCGTTCACTGCGATGGGAGTGAAGGGCAGAACGCAGGTCAGGGCTTTCTGGAGAAGGAGATGCTCTCAAGTCTCTTAAGATAGAAGAGAGACTTGTGGGTTGATGCACAGCAATTCACTTTGCTGGGCTGGCGGGGTTTTAAAATCCCCAGCTGCAGCTGAATATGGGAAGGGGCTAATAGTAGGGTTTGACTGTACGAGTCTGCTGTTGCTGTGCACGGAGTTGTGCTTTTCTCCTGGCCCTACTCCTTTTTCCCTTAAGTCCATTTTCCTCTTGATGGGAATCATTCCCTCTGTATTTTGTGATTTTTTTCCTGATATTTTTCACTCATTTTTACCCAGGCTTTTTGACACAGATGCGCTTTTCTATGTGAGCTTTAAACTTTGTGCCCAAAGCTATGTGTTTTGTTAGTACTGTAGCTCCAACAAATGAGGTGTTTGGTGTTGGTGCCCACTGAAGGAGTTCCTGTTGCAGTATGCTATGCCTTCCCAGCTCTTTGTGAGGCCGTGTTGTGAGCTAGAGCGGAAGTGGGACTGGGCTTAAAATAGTTGGGGTCTTCTAGCGTTGCTCCGTAAACACATAGAAAAGTGCTTCTAGTGAACATGTGGTCCTTCTGGCTACTTCTATTACTGACAGGTTAAAAGGAAGCTCCTCTTCCTACACAACCTTTATTTTGAAGTGATAGAGCTGGCAAGAGTTAAATATCTGTGCTTGTTGCTGTAGGGAGGCTCTTGCATTGATTTCTCTTTTTCTTTTCAACAGCGTATGGACCTGGGAGAATGCACAAAGATTCATGACTTGGCTTTGCGAGCAGATTATGAGATTGCAAGTAAAGAGAGAGACCTGTTTTTTGAGCTGGATGTAAGTTTGGAGAAATGTGTTATTCTTGTGGACGCTGCCTCTTGAAGTTATTTGGCTGAGCAGCAGAACTCAATGGGCGTTTCAGCTAACCAGATGATGTATTATCTGACAAGAATATGTGGCCCCTTCCCAAATGTTAGCCTGGTGCTGACTTCAAAGTAAAAGTAATTGTTGTCCTTGCACCCTCATTAGTCCAGGTAGTTCTGAGGATCCTCCAGCATTCCTTGCATCCACACCCAGTGCTCTGTAGCAGGCCACTGTAATCTGATGGCCTGTCCCAGAAAGAGCGTTAACATTAAAAGCTTCCTGCTCTGTTGTTTCACTTTTACCAAACTTGGCTGTCTGTGATGGAACAAATTAAGTGGAAGAGCAATTCTGTCCTGCTTAAGGCACTCCAGTGCTTCTGGTTTTGCACCTGTTATTCATGCTGTGGAGTTCCAGTGCAAAGTAGTCTTTATGTGAGCATCCTACAGCATGTCAGAGCAAAGGATCAGGTTCTGAACATATGACAGACTTCAAGGCTGACTGAGGGGTGACTGAGGGCTGACTGGGTGACTGAGCACTGGAACAGGTTGCCCAGAGAGGTAGTGGAGTCTCCTTCGCTGGAGATATTCAAAACCTGCCTGGATGCGATCCTGGGAAATATGCTCTAGAGGACCCTGCTGGAGCGGGGAGGTTGGACTAGATGACCTCCAGAGGTCCCTTCCCACCTCAACCATTCTGTGATTCTGTGAAGGCAGTGATCAAATTTTACTTTTTCTACAAAGTGTCATATACTTTTTGTTGCAACATCCCTTCTTGAGGTGGTTTGTGCATTGTACAGGGCATCTCATTGTGCATACACATTGTGCATCTCATCAATGAGACGTCAAAGTTAGATCCTGGCGCTCGGAGCACCTTTAATCACAGTTCTTTGTTTGAAAATGCAGGCTATGGATCACCTGGAGTCCTTCATTGCAGAGTGTGATAGGAGAACAGAACTGGCTAAGAAACGCCTGGCTGAGACACAGGAAGAGATTAGTGCTGAAGTGTCTGCAAAGGTATTGTCCTCTCGTTAATTTGTCCTGAAAGCCTGGGCAAGAGCACTGGCTCTTGTGTTGTTTCTGAAGCCGTTGATATTGGAAAGTTAGGCTCCATGGAGACTGTGGATTCCAGCCATGGTCCTGTAACGCTACTTCAGCCATCTTTTTGATAAACTTACTGGTTCAAAGAGGGAGGCCATACTGGGGTAAGATAGGAACGTTAAAATGGGTTGCTTTAGCATGACTATAATGTGTATAGTGATATTTTTTTTTCCCCTGCTATTCAATATTAATATAATAGCTTAGAGTAGTAAATCCACCCCATGATTGTTGTATTTTCCTTGGTGTGTGTACATGGAGTTTCTTTGTCTCAAGCTTACAGGACAGCTTCCCTCGTTAGGCCAACGTAAAACATTTCTGAAGCCGGTTCTGCATAGTATCTTCTGTTCTGCAAGCCAGGAATGTGCCACTACCTGCAGTAGAACTGATGATGGCCTGTCCATGCCCAGTTTCTCCCTTTGTCATGTGTTTCTTACTGCCTTGCTGGTACCTGGCCCATCAGTTCCTTTTTCTTGAGACTCCTTTGACTGTTGGAAGGACCATTTCTCGTCAGCTTCCAACAACTGCTTTTGCTAGACAACCTTATTGGGGGGGGAAAAAAATTGTCCTGCAAGCTTTCGGAAGTTTTTTCTCTTGTTAAAAACAAACTATTCTTTTTAGGCAGAGAAAGTACATGAGCTGAATGAAGACATTGGAAAACTCCTAGCTAAAGCTGAACAGCTGGGAGCTGAAGGAAATGTTGACGAGTCTCAAAAGATCCTGATGGAAGTGGAGAAGGTCCGAGCCAAAAAGAAAGAGGCGGAGGTATGGCCTTGATCCTCCTGTGAATTGCAATAGCTGACTGAACTAGACTGAGTGTGTGACAAGCAGCCGGGCAGTTCTTACTGCTTTTCTTCTTTCACCAGCACCTCCCTCTTTCAGTTTTGGCAATGCGCTGGCAAGCAGTTAGCAGTGGAGTGTGATAGGTGAAGAAAAGGTTTTTAGAAACCTTTATCCACTGGAGAGTGCTGACTGTGAAGGAGTTGATTCCTCTGAAGTATCTGATCACTAGTCACTCGCAGGGATAGACTGACAGGCTAGCTGCAGTCCTGAAGTGTTTTGTATAGCACCTCCTTTATGTTGAGGATGCTTTTTTGATCTCGGAGAGCAGCAGGACAATTCCTTGTAGGTGTTCCCTGGAGGGTTGTGACTGTGTATGGGGCTGTTCCTGACAATTGGTTGTTTTTTGCCTCCCTTTAGGAAGAATACCGAAATTCAATGCCTGCATCCAGTTTCCAGCAGCAGAAGCTGCGTGTATGTGAAGTCTGTTCTGCATATCTTGGTCTCCATGACAACGACAGGCGTCTTGCTGACCACTTTGGAGGCAAATTACACTTGGGCTTCATTCAGATTCGTGAGAAACTGGATCAGCTGAGGGTAATTTTTGTCTGTTTTAAGCCTCCTCCTTTTAGTTCTGAAGACATTCAGCACTTCAAGTTCCTACAGAATTCTTTGCAGGGTGCTAGCATAAACCCAAGAAATTTTTGCTCTGATTTCAGAATCCCTGAAACTTCAAATGGAGGTGTGCCTAACCTCATCTCGGGTTCTGTTCTGTAATTTCTGTGTAACCGAAATTATACTGTTAGAATTGGTCAAACCAGACCACTGCTGTAATTTTTCCTCCTTAAATACATGTGACTACAAATGCTCTTTCTCATTGGCTTGGGCTGAAATTTGTCACTGTGGTGAGTTTTTTGACTACTGAAAAGCCCTTTGAGACCTCTTAATGAAATGCTTGAAGTGAAGAGTTTCATAGTGCTGTCAGTGAAGAAGGTCTCTTGAGTAGGGGAAGCTTTGAGTAGAAGTTTTCTAGAACGCTTTGTAATGAAATTGTGACAATGTCCTTGCTCATGAACAGGGAGCTTTAGCCTGCTTGAGTGGGGGTTGTGATTCCTGTGCCTTGTTCATTAGGCAGTACGTTAAGGTCAGTGCCTCAGTGCCTTGCTGGCACAAAGCTGGAGCACTGTTTTTTATTGTATGTTGGTGAGACAGTCTCTTGCCTCAAAGCTTATGGGCTAGTCTCATAGAGCACCAGCACTCAAAGCAGAACTAGGAGTGATATTTCCTGCCCTGATGTACGTTAGTGAAGTTGTGAGGGAAATGAGAGCCTTGATTCAGATCTTGACTAGCAAGTAAAATGCAGTGAAACAGTTCTCTGTCTTAGTACCTGAACAATCTCTCTGACCTGTTACTGTATGGCTGAAACGTGATGTGAACTTTTTCCTAGAAAACAGTGGCAGAAAAGCAAGAGAAAAGAAACCAGGATCGCTTGAGGCGGAGAGAAGAGAGAGAACGGGAGGAGAGAATGGGCAGGCGGTAAGTGAAAGCTGATAACTGGTTTGTGAAGTTGGTTTCAAAGTAGCCTGATTTCTTGAATGCCAAGGGAAAGCAGCATCTGCTCCAGTGTATGTGGTTGGATCAACTTTTAGACGTGCTCTGGAGGCTGTGTGAACACCTTGGCGTGTAATAAAAAAATGAAAACAAATGCACAAAACCCTTCCCTTAGACTGACTGTGTGTGTGGTGTTTTAGCCTCCATTGTGTATCTGAAAGATAGGAGTCGCCTTTGTAAGGTCGTGGCGACTGGGAGAGGTGCCTCAAGACTGGAAGAAAGCAAATGTCACTCCAATCTTCAGAAAGGGCCGGAAGGAGGACCTACGGAGCTCCAGGCCGGTGAGCCTCGCTTCAGTCCCTCGGAAGGTTATGGAGCAACTAATCCTGGATACCATTTCTAGGCATATGAAGGACAAGATGGTGATCAGGAGTAGTCGGCATGGATTCTCAAAGGAGAAATCACGCCTAGTCAACCTGATGGCCTTCTATGACGGAATGACTGGCTGGGTAGAGGAGGGGAGAGCAGTGGATGTCGTCTCCTTGGACTTCTGTAAGGCTTTTGACCCTGTCTCCCATAACATCCTCATAGGCAAGCTGACGAGGTACAGGTTAGATGAGCAGGCAGTGAAGCGGATTGAAAACTGACTGAATGGCAGAGCTCAGAGGGCGCAAAGTCTAGTTGGAGGCCAGTAACTAGTGGTATACCCCAGAGGTCAACAGTGGGTCCAGTCTCGTTCAACTTGTTCATCAGTGACCTGGACGAAGGGACAGAGCGCACCCCCGGCAAGTTTGCTGATGTTACAAAACTGGGAGGAGTGGCTGATACAGCACAGGGCTGTGCTGCCGTTCAGAGGGATCTCGACAGGCTGGATAAATGGGCAAGAGGAACCTCATGAAGTTCAACAAAGGGAAGTGCAGAGACCTGCACCTACGGAGGAATAATACCATACACCAGTACAGGCCGGGGGGGCTGACTTGGAAGGCAGCTCTGCAGACCTGGGGGTCCTGGTGGACAACAAGACCGCAAGCCAGCAATGTACCCTTGTGGCCAAGAAAGCCAACGGTATCCTGGGCTGCGTTAGGCAGAGTGTTGCCAGCAGGTTGAGGGAGGTGGTCCTTCCCTTCTGCTCAGCCCTGGGGAGGTCGCACCTGAAGTACTGCGTAGAGTTCTGGGCGAGAGCTTCTCTAATGAGAAAAGGCTGAGAGAGTTGGATTTGTTTAGCTTGGAGAAGAGAAGGCCAAGGAGGGATCTTATTGGTGTGTATACATACCTGACGGGAGGGTATAAAGAAGATGGGGCCAGACATGCCCAGTGACAGGATGAGAGGCAACGGGCACAAATTGAAACACAGAAAGTACCATCTGAACATGAGGAAAAGCTTTTTTCCTGTGAGGGTGACCGAGCACTGAAACAGGTTGCCCAGAGAGGTTGTAGAGTCTCCATCCTTGGAGCTATTCACAAGCCGTCTGGGCAGAGTCCTGGGCAGTGTGCTCTAGGTGATCGTACTCGAGATGGGGGGTTGGACTTTCCAACCTCAACCATTCTGTGAGTTCCTAGCGGTCTTCAGGCCTGTATTGGTCTAGTCCTCTTTTTGTTTTTTTTTTTTTTTTTGGAATCTGAATCTGGATAAAATGCTTTCACCCAGTGCATCTGAGTAAGAAAGTGGAAGATGAGTGCTAGCTCTGCTCAAAAAGCGCTGGTCATGTAAAAATTCCCTGGACAGCCATCCCTCGCTTTTAGGCTAGGAGATGATAGCAAAATGGAGCTAGTTTCTATGAGCAGAAAATGCAGGTTGTGATTCTTATTCAGAAACTTTCTATGTTAATAGTGAGGTACTGTTGGAACGGCTTTGGGAAACACTTTCCAGGACATCTTTATAGTGTTCCGCTTTGAGGGGTCCGAATGAATGGCAGCTTTTGGTGGCTATGGCCATATGTGTCACCTTTGGCTCATATGTGTATAATCCTTAAATAGTGGGAGTGGCTGCAGTGTTGGTATTCAGAGCACAAGCTCTTCTGCCTCTTGCCAGCTGAACTGGAAAAACCGATGTCATCTTTACTTTGACTGAACAGGAATCTTGTGTGTAAACAGTTCAGTTAAACAGGGGCCTGATGTGAAGAAGGTGGTTATTTACTAAGGGCAGATAGAGGAAGTGGCAGAGTAGGAATGCTGTTCTCATTGTCACAGCATTCCCCAGTCCTACTCCAAGTGGTTTCTACTCAAAATCTTGTACTTTTACAGCCAAAAAAATCTTGCTGCCTGTGGAGAGCTCTTTCTGACCCTTAGTCTTACTGAAGAAGTGTTTCAACCATCCATATCTGAGGCATGTGAGATACATAACTGCAATATGTGGTAAGAAGGTGCTGGCTTCTGGAAGTGCTAGCAAACAAGTGCCAGAATCGAAGCTTGATTCTTCTGCAATCTGTGGCTTGGTGACCTTGGTATCTCTGAAGGTGTACGCACCAAATTGTTAGGCTTCCTCTGATTTGGGTGTTTTATATGGATTCTCTCTCCGTATGGTTACCTGATGTCATATAAAGTGTCAGTTCATGCTGCAGCATTTTCTGTAGAGGGTCTCATCTTTCTGGCCTTCATGCAAGATTGGCAGTAATGCAGTTGTATTTGGGACCTGCAGAACCTGGAATTGGCTGAGTGCAGGAATTAATTGAAAGGGGCTGATGTATGTTGTTGTATCGTCAATCTGACTTGCTATGGAGAGGAAGGTGGAAATGAGGCGTTTTCCAATGCAACTGCTTCGTGACTAGTGACCGCTTCTAACTTGGTCTTAGTGTGTCTGTCTCCGTGTTCCTGGAGTTCGTTTCTGCATGAAACTTGCCAGACTCAACAGAGTTGCCGTCAGGAAGAGTTCTCTTGGTCTCCCTCTCCCCAAGATGATTGCTGCTTTCTTTCTGCGACATGCATGCTTTTTCTTAAATCTCAGTTCCTAAGAGTTAAGGAGCCACCTGTGTTCACAGGTAGCCCACACATGGATGTATCTGATAAGGATGTTTGAAGACCAGTTTTGAATATTCAGTGCTCTAAATATGAAAGGTTTTAAGCACTGCATTGAGTTGTCCTAAGGTGTGAATCCTTTGTTCTGGCTTCTTGTAAGATGCCCCTCCCCCCCCCCTTTTTTTTTTAAACTTGGAGTACCATACAGGAAAGGTCAAATAGGTCTCATTTTGGAGGGGAAAACCGATTCAAGGGAATAGTTTCCCCAGTGGACGTTTAGTGCCGGAACTGGGGTAGCACCTAGATTTCTCAGTTCCCACCCTCTGCGGTGGGTGCTGTGCAACACTGTGCTTACAGAGGCGTTTTTCCTATCAAAAACTGATCAGTAGATTCTCTCAGCTCTTAGACTGCCTCTATTAAGCAGAAGTTGGTACTTTAAGGAACTGCAGAAAAGACATGCTGCCTTTATAACTGTTTTGTGATATTTTCATATGCAGTGTCTTCACAGTGTTATTCTGTAAGAGAAAGAGCATTACTTGACTTTGAGAAGACTTTAGTGGCTTATAAACACTGTGACAAATGTTGAAACCTGTAGATTTGCTTATGAAACTCTCTAGTTTTCAAAACTGTATTAATGTCAAATAAGATGTGACTCCCGAGTAGGAATGAGTGAATTGGATTGTCACCTACAGTGGTAGATTAAGATGAGTCCTCTCTCCTGCATTGCTTGGTGGTGTTGCTGGTGACTGCTGGCTACCCACTGATCTCTGAGACTGAAAATCTGTGGAGTGGTGACGTGCTTGGAAGTCCAAACTTGTGTGTTTGCCTCTTGAGTGCACCAGCAACAAGACGAGGTGGAGCTGCCAAATGGATTTCCTTTGTAGCGAGTGGGATGACAGCATGGGTTATGAAAGTCAACGTAAGCCTCTGTGAAAGCCTCTGTGATGCAGGGACAAAAGAGAAAAGTACGCTCAGCCTTTGAGCTTGCTGGACAGCAGTCTTGTACTGTGTCCTGCTGTATACTGACTTGGGCCAGTAAGGAAAGTGCTGGTTTTTTGGATGCTTTCTGAATTTGGAAGTCTAGCACTATTGAGTGACCATCAGGAGTTTATTGTGCATCTTCCTGCACAGATCAGGATCGTGGAAGGCCAACCAGGCTTTTCGGGGAATGTTAAATGGCTTTGTGTGGATGTGTGCACCAGTGGTTCAGAATAAAGTGATCAGGAATAAAAGAACATTGAGAACTTGGAGTAACTGTAGTCACCAATACAGATTCAGCTGCCTGTGAGGCATCTATGGGAGGTCCGGTTGTGCTCTCCGGTTCTGTTACATGAAAAGGTGCATGGTTATTGCCTTGCTCTCCTGGTTTATCAGCTCTGCCTTCACCTGGTCTTGTCATGTGTTGCCTTAGCCTGAGGTTCGTTCACCTGACTCCAAGTGTATGGTTCATTTGCTTGACTCCAAGTTCAGCTGTCTTGTTTGCAATCCTATAAGCTGAATTCCTTTATGGATGTTTGTTTTTCTTTCTGTAATGACTGAACAACCCCCTTTCCTTGCAAAGGAATGTCAGTGCGCGTTGATTCTTTTTCTCTTGTCTTATCCACGTATGGTTTTAAAAGGATATGATTAAAATAGACACTCTTACATGGTGTGTGGGTTTTTTTTGTTTTTGTTTTTACTTTCATTTTGTCTGTGCATAACTCTCAGCTGCATCTCCAGTTCCAGCTACAGAGCTCTTGTTTGTAGCTGGAACGTCCCCTGTGAGTCTGTATGCAGTGAGGAGATCAGAGCAGTTAAGAGCGTGGCTCTCTAATGCACTGAACAGAGAGACTGGCCGCTTTTCAATTAAGCCAGAAAGAGACTGTTCAGACTGCATGAAGTTTGGAGGTGTGTTTCTGCTAAAAGTATGCTGGCTTTGAAATGTCTTTAGAGAAGAAGGAAGGGTGTATCTTCCACAGGCAGTGGCATTTTAAGTGGTATTGAGTAATGGTGCCTCAGAAGTTGAAAGAATTGAGACTTTGTTATTTACAGACTATTTACAGAAGCTAATGCTTCTGGGAATGGAACTAAAAGCACCACACACAAGCTCTGAAGCAATGGAAACGAGAGAGAGTATGGTAGGACTTCAATGCGTTATGAGACCTACTTCTAAAGTTGCTTTCTAAGTCTGGGATGAAAGATTTTCAGTGCCTCTCTCGGTTACTTTTCAGTAACAGTTCTTCCCTTGTTTCTGTGTTCCCTCTTTTTTCTAGCTCATCTTTCCCAAAGAGAAAGAAAGTGCAAACTTCCATCTAATGTCTATTAAATAAACATGAGAAGAGTGAGAAAATACTGTATTTTCCCTTTCTTAAGACCTTTTTTTGCCTGTAACTACCTTGAAAGAACCAAAATTAGAAAACTGGCAACTGTCCAGCTCATCTTTTTGACTGTAGTGCGGCACTCTTTCTTGAAAATGTTAGAGTTGATCCTAGACTGCAGAGGGTAAAAAGTACATATGGAATGTGCACAGTAAAACTTGATGTTGGAAAGGTGCATAGTGGAGTTGTGTTATCAGAAACGCAATTGGTTTGTGGACCTTTTCTGACAGTAAACTGCATGGAATTGAGAAATTGTTCCCCCAGCAAGCACTGTAGAAACTAGTGCTTGCTTCTGCAAAGTTCTTTGCTTTTGATTTAAAAAAAAAAAAAAAAAAAAAAA